CATTTTTGAGTAAGGTACACAAACATAAGCAATTAATTTAGGTGAAACAGGAAGAAGCAAAAGAGAAGGGATTATCTAGAGGAGATATCAGAGAGGATCTGAGAAGCTTGGAGACTCGGATGTTCTCTAATGAGTTCATTTTCAAGCAAAAGACTCTTCTTTACGTTGACTACGACACTAGAGCATCCAACCACCTTCCTCACATTGCCCTCTGAATCAACCTTGCATAGCTGCTGCTATCACATTTAATATTATAACAACGCAACATTTACCTTAAGAGTAGAACGAGATGACTACTTACACAAGCCCATTCCCAATAACTATAAGCAATTAAAACTCATGAACCAAAAATTTGCAAAAGTGTAGAGATTGAGTTACATAGCATAAGCATTAGTGAGTTAAAAATGACTCATACTTCTCTTTATATATGTTGTATAATGTTATATTTCTTAAAGCCTCTGAAGTGCTCTTACTACAGAAGCCAATTCAACTATTTACCTACTTAGAACCGAATGACATTACTCTCTTTAACATGTTGAACAACACAATTGTCAGATTTTGCATATCTCCTAAATGTTTTTCTCGCAAATCATAAGTACCTGCATAACATTATATACACTTGAATCTCTATAGTGTCTAGAAAGTCATATGGATTAAGCTTCACAATGGTAGATAAAAATAGGTTATTTCAGAACTAAGAACCTCTGTTTCTTCCTGTCACTTGAACTACTTAGCAGCTGCCTCAACACAAACAACAAAAGAAAATTACTGACAAGGAAACAGCAAGCAAAACATCATCGCTATCCAAGAGGAATAAACTAAGAAACAGCATCGAAGACAGTGAATTGAAACCTATCACTGATTTGAATCCCAAATTCAAGTTCATCAAAACCTAAGGCTAAACTGAATCATTCTATTTGTATAATTGGAGATCTAAACAAATCAAATCGAGAGGCAATGAAAGAAAAAATGGGGAAAATCATACTCGGCCATGATAAGCTTTGTGGACGTAATACTGAGAATTTCCCATGATACAAAGCATTCCTCTGATGATTCCAAGAGGTAGAGTTGCTTCTAGCCACACCAACGACATCTTCTTCTTCGTCGTCTTTTTGTTATTTCGATTCTGCTTATCTATGTATCAAATGATTTGAGATTGTAAATTAGAAGAGGAAAGAGATGGTACAAGGCTTCAAGCCGATTAGCAAGCTGTGACAGGGAATCCAGGTGATAATCGTGTGATTTGAG